CCCCCCCTTCGGCGGGGGTTGCCCCCTGCCAGCCCCGTTGGCTGTGCCACACTTGGTGGCCATGTATGATGACACCTGCCTCCTCTTCCTCCTCCTCACATCAGCCACCCACCAGCTCCCTGGCGAAACACCAACCAGGCTCAGTCCCTCTCCCCAGCCCCTCCAGCATCGCCTCCCCCTTTCCTCCTCCTGAGCCCCATCGGGTCCCTGGGAGCAGGGTGGGCAGGGAGGTGTTCGCAGCACCCCATGTCCCCGAGCTGTCCCCAGGGCCACCCCAACCATGTACCTGCTCGTTAGCTCGAGGCCAGAAGACGGCCAGGATGAAGACGGCGGTGACAGGAGGAGCCAGGTAGCTGGTGACAGCCTGGATGTAGACGTAGAGCTGGCCACCGCTGGAGCTCTGCAGGATGGGGATCCAGACCACGCTGAGGGCCACCAGCACCACCGTGACCACCCTGCGAGCGGCAGCGATGCGGTGCGGGGTGATGCTCCCGTCCCACCCGCACCTCCTCGCACCCGTGGCATCGCCGTGGCAGCAGGGGGTCACCGGGGTCAGGGGTTGGGTCCCGGTGCCGGTGCGGAAGAGCTGGCCAGGGGATGCAGGCAGGTCAGTGAGAGGACACTCGCCACCGGGTGACATCCCCAGGGCCACAGAGGATGCTCTTTACACCAGTGCCGGCTCCATCCCGGGTGGGCAAGCGCTGTCCAGGCCCCTGCCCAGCCCCGGGGGCCGCTAGGTTGGACCCCCCCCCATGGGGAAATGTCGGGCAAAGGGCACTTCTGTTATGAAAAGTCCCCAGTTGCGGAGGCTGGGTGCTCTGACCAGATCTGGGTGATGTTCTCAGCACTCCCGTGTCTCCCCAAAGCACCCAGCTGAGAGCCAGGGACGTGGGCTGAGCTGCCCCGTGCTCAGCTCCCCCCGGCCGGGCTGCAGCGCTGGGGTGCGTCTGTCCCCCAGCGTGGCTCCGTCCTCATCCTCGCCCAAAGCCCAGCTGCACCCTGCAGCATCACCCTCCTCCACAGCAAGGTGCTTTGGCCAGACCCCATTTCTCTGGGTCCAATCTAAGCAGGCAGGCTGGGCAGGACACGTCCTGAAAGCTGCCACGTTTATAGCTCAGCCCAGCTGGTTTACAGCTTCGCAGAATCGTCTACATCTCCATCTGGTCATCTCCAAAAAGCAGAAGTAGGGAAAAATAGAAAAAAAAAGCGATGAAAGCATCTCGAGACAGAGTCCCCCCGGCCTGCCCGGCCCGCTGGAAAGAGGAAGCAGCCTGAGCACAAAACACACACCACAACCCAAGGGGCAGGAGAAAAACCCCACATTTGGTGCGTCTTTAAGCTACATCTGAATGCTGAAAGGTGACGGGAAAAATGGAGGAGCGTCTGAGCGCGGTGCTGAGGTGGGGGGTGCCCGGCCGCAGCCCCCTCGCAGGTCGGGATCCAGGCAGCGATGGATTGCAGGGGATCCTCGGGGGGGATTCGGGGAGGATGGGGTGTTCTCCCTGCTGCGTGCCTCAAACGCCAGCAGGGATACCCAGGCAGGCGGCACGGCCGCGGCCGGAGCAACAACCCCCAGTCCAGGAACTGGGAGCTCTCTCCGGTCCCACGAAGAAATCCCTTCCCTCCGCGTGCGGAGCTGGACGAACATGCCGGGGGTGGCGGGGACCCCTCGACGGCTGCTCAGAAGCAACCCCGAGCCGCACGTCCCCGTGCTGACAGCTGGGAAAACCTCAAACCAGCAGCCTAAACAA